TTTCTAATATAAATGTTTTTGTTTAGAGATTAATACAAGAATGATGAATACATGTACTGATCTACTGGATATTGGCTGGATAATTTTGTCAGAACAACCCACTTGCAAGACAATCTTACCTATTTAAAATTCATCAGTATGGAAAATAACTTAACAGCTACAATCATATTATATGGATGGATCAGATCAATGGCACACAATGTACAAAACTAACCTTGTGATACATTCTACTCAAACAGATATTCTCCCACAAGACAAAGTGTGGATATGCTGAGTTAAACTGAACAGTGTGGTATCTCATTTTATTATATAAGTACTGAGATTTATTCATTAAAATGTCATTGCATAATAATCATTTAGCCACAGCCAATCAACGACGTGAACGATCAAATTTCACTAGTGAAACAACATCGTTCGTGCCGTCTGATTGGATGAACGATTTTTTTCACTAGTGAAAAATGATCGTACGGGAAAATATGCTGTTTTCTACCACAAACAATTTGGCGCGAAAGCTATTTCAATTTGAAAATCAAAATGGCTGCGAGATTAGCGGATGCCGGTTCTGTTGACAATTTCATTTCAGAACAGGAAAATAAAGCTACCTCACAAAAAACAGAACGAGATGTAAAACTGTTACACTTGTTTTTGCAAACCAAGAATGAGGAAAGAAAAATGGAAAATATTCCGACAGCAGAACTGAACGAGTACGTGTCTGAGTTTATAATTTCAGTCAGAACCAAAGACGGGAAAGAATATGAGCCATCTTCGCTCCGAAGTTTATTAGCAAGCTTCGAGCAACATCTTAAGAAAAAAAATTACCCTGCAAGCATTATCAACGATTTAGCATTTGAGAAGACAAGAAAATCTCTTCAGTCCAAGCAAAAAGAATTAAAAAAACAAGGAAAAGGAAATAAACCAAACGCTTCGGTGCCTTTAACTAGTTCGGAACTAAATACGCTGTATGCAAAAAACCTTTTCGGTATGCGAAATCCAGAGTCGCTTTTAAACACGCTCTGGTTGAATAACACAATGCATTTTGGACTCAGAGGCTGCAAAGAGCATAGAGATATGTGCTGGGGTGATGTAAAATTGAAGTAAACGGTAAACGGCGAGGAATTTTTAGAGTTCAATGAGAGACAAACCAAAACAAGAACTGGATTAGACTGCCATGATGTCAGAAAAATGGCGCCTAAAATGTTTGCTACTGATGGTTCAGAAAGAGATCCTGTGGTCGTCTACAAACTGTATGTCCAGAAGAGACCTCAGAAAATGAAAGAAGACGACTCTCCATTTTACTTAGCTGTCAACAACAACTTGAAGGCAGAGTCGCTTCAAATGAAAGAATGGTTCAAGGCCGGTCCTGTTGGAATAAACAAACTGAACAGTCTGATGAAAACTATGGCTCAAAAAGCAGGAATTAACAACAACCGAAATCACAGCGGTAGGAAAACAATGATTCAAACACTTGGCGAAAATGATATTCCACCGACACATATCGCCCAACTGTCTGGGCACAAGAATCTAAAGAGCATAGAAAACTACAGCAAAGTATCGACTAAACAGGAAATGCAAATGTCCAAACTACTCAGCGGCGTTATATCTGCTACTGCAACCAAGACATCCTCCCATGATGAAAGAGAAAATCCGACCGCAATTTGCCCATCCAACTCCGAGTCACAACAAGCCATGGCTTTATTCAGCGGGGCTGTTATAAAGGGTGGTAACTTTTCCATAAACATAAACACAGTGAACCAGTCACCCAAGCTCACTGTAGAACGAGAATCAAGTCCAGTCAATGCCGAAGGCGAAGCGTTGCCAAGATGGAAAAGACTGAAAGTCAAAGGACAGTAGCGACGATGAGTATTGAGCAGTTTGAAGTATTTTTAATATTGTGTTCATTTCATATTCTCTTCGCGTTGAAATTTTCAAACTTGTTGTTGTGGTGCATGCCCTTGTGAAAATATAATTCATTTCTTAATCTTTAAATCTTGCTGTAGGTTGTAGGAAACTAGACCACATAAATAATTAAAACTAAGTATAAACGCTTTATACAAATGTGAACGATTATAAACGACCTCGATGTTGATAGTACTTTACGATTTTGAAAAACAAGTTATTTTTAAACATAACTTGTAAGTTAATAATCATGCATACCGGAAATGACTAAACAATTAAATATTCTATGTTAATAACACTAAAAACTTTGTCATCGTGAATGAAATCTCAGTACTTATATAATAAACAAATAACATCATGGTTGGATCGCAAATACGATTTTTATTCACTCGTCAATTATTACAAGCTCACTTGTTCGCTGCGCTCACTCGTTCACTTGTAATAATCCACTCGTAATAATCCACTCGTGAATAAAAATCGTACGCGCTCACCAACCATGAAGTAATCTCTATGTAGAGCGTAATGCCATACTTCTTTTTGGATTTACCAAAATAAACAGCCCTAAACAGTGGTGCTGTAGAACTCATTTCTAGACTTGCTCTATTAATATATCGAGACAGAATCTTAAAGTGACACGCTGCATCCTTCGTTTCTGCCACAAGAACCATGTTCCCATGGTGATAAACATCAGTCTTACTTTGAATTATGTACAGTTTGACAAAACTCTCACCATCAACAGAGGCAAAATTAACATCACAGCAGCGCAAGCTTGCTAGCTCATTAAAATGTAGGAATGCATGAAAACCTGTGACGCATATCACTGCAAGTCGCAGATCTGAAAGATTAGAATTTTCTGTCGTGTACTTCGCAAAGTTCAGTAATCATCTGAAAAGTTATTGGATCCTTCTTCTGGATTGGTTGAGCTAGTTTCCTTTTTGCAGCCTCTAATAAAGTTCGCACAAGTCCGGATCCGCACAGGTTTTGAAACCTGTACACGCTGTGTGCCCAATTTATACTGTAAAATGCACTTTCCAGTTTTGAGTAGGGACTGTTATTCTCGATGAGGTATTCCAGGTACAAACCTACAGTGCTTGGGTTTGCTGGAAATCTGTTAAATGTCCATGCCTGGCTGCCCAAGCCTTGAACATTCCAGAACCTCTAGAATATTTATCAACAGTGCTGGGAGCTTTAGCCTCAATCAAACGAGTGGTCATCACACTTGAAAGGAAAATTTTTCCCTGTACATTGTAACAAGAAAGACAATATATATTTGAAAACTCGATCATGCTGGCAAACAACCCTGTGCATTGAGCAACAGAATTAAGACTGGACTATTAAAATCATCTGAACCGAATAGGGACAATTTATCGAGAACTTGCTCAAAAACGTCCTTCCCATTTTCTATATAAACATAATCTGATACAAATTGCCTAAAATTTCCATCCTTGTTAATAAGAAATGGCCAGAATACAGCTGAAGGCCAAAATGGTACAGTCAATATGGCACGACACCCAGAGAGGCCAACATGCTTCACGGTCTTAGGGATTAATTTTATGGGAGGAACTAGCCAACAAAATTTGCAAGACCAATTAAAGGCAAAAGAATCAACTCCTAATGAATGAGGGGTGAAAAGTAAGCAAAACAATCAATCGAGCAGATGCCCCACTTGGACTGCGCTCATTTGAAATAACTATCTTTAACGCTCCAGTCGTCAGGATCTATTATTTTCCAAAAATAATCCGCTATGTTGTTCAAACCCTGTGGAATCCATTCAATATTAATCTCAATGTTATTGTCTTTAGCATAATAAAATATATCTAGCACTAATTGATGCAAAGCTAATTTCATGCTGCCCGAATCAACAATCGAAACAACAGCTTGGTTATCCGTATACCATTCACTTTATTATTTTGTAACCTACAACCCTGGATAAAAGTGTTGGGACACTCAAACTTTTCCACCCTTGAATTCTAAAGACAACGCCCCCTCCCCCCCCCCCCAATTTTAGTTAAGGATGCCCCCAAGATCAACATTGAACGGGGAGGGGAGGGGGGTTCAGTTCAAAAGCATATTTTGTGTTAAATCGGCTTTCCCTGAAGAGAACAATAAAAACCTGCAAAAATTTTGGGTTCTCCCAACGACTTTTGCCAGGATTGTCGGAATTTAGATGATAAACTAATAATGAAATGTGGATGAAAATCTTTGCTGTTTTGACACTAGATGATCTTTTAACTAATTATATTCATATACTCGGAAAACTACCCTTGGAAAACAGTTTTTTAATTATAACTGATAGGGCTACCGTTGTTAAATATTTTTAAATAATAATTTTAAATAATACTCTCGAATTCGAAGATGTAGAAAATAGTGAACAGGACTGAACTGAAGAGCAGCTAAACTTAGATAATGTCATGGTCGCTTTTAGTTTTACAAAGCTAGTCGTGGAAAACAATACAAACAAATGACCAAATACCGCACATACAATGATAGTTAATATTTAATAACATTTCTGTTAACACACGTAAACAGCATATTGATCTGCAGAGACAGCCAGTACTCATGCACACTTCTCAGTAATATAATTTGAAATTTCGCACTTGGTTGTTATGATATATTTCAGATAACCCTCTACTCTGATTTCAGTCATAGCTGTTGCACTTCTGTTAAGATGTTTTCTTGTGTATAGAAAGTGCATTCTATACGTATTTGTAACACTTCTCATCATCACTGAGTTTAGAAAATACAAAAAATTGCAGTTTTATTTACTCAAGAAGTGAGAACTGTGGAAAGTCGCAAGTGAGCTACTTTATTATACAATATTGAGCTTAGCTTCGAAAGTAAATTGTATACAAAAAGAAATGTCACTGAAATTTGGTGTGGCAAATGAATCGTACTATATTTATCATTGGAAATGATGCTGAGAAGTGTTGCTCCTGTCGACGAGAACTGTACATGTTTACATTTCATTTTGAATTTCCGGTCTCAATTGGGTTAATAGATGACGTAATATTAAGCAACAAAATTAAGCATAAGCTGTCAATATTTTATTCGGAATACCTTGGATTTTATTACAGCATGAATGCTCCCAGACATACTATTTATTGTGCGATCTATAACGTTGAGGTAAGTTCCCTGGTCGATTCGACACTTAGAGTCAAAAGAGAATCCCAGCTAAGTCTGGAATTAATCTGTGCATGCAGAGATTTAGTCATAAGTTTGCATATCATGCCAAATACTGTTAAATTCGAAATAATCAGACCTGTCAGAGAAGCCAGCTTGCCTGGTTTTTACCTTCTTTGAGACCCGCGTCTTCTTAATAAAAGTCGACACTTTTTCATTTTTACTCTGGGGGGGGGGGGGGGGACAGAAAGAGTTTGCGATTTTAAATTCCAGTCTAGACCGAGCCAAGTTAAACATTGCATGGGACACCAATTACATTTCGCTACGCTGGCGACAAAACCGCTGCTTGCAATATCGGCTCTTACACAGAATGCTTGTGTTAAGCAAGACGAAAATGATTGCAATGCGCCTAACCCATCATCCAAATACACTGTTATTTTGTATGCCATAGTCCTCCAGTGCTTAACTGATGGTCTGACTACTTTAGTAAGAATGTAAGGCGCAGTGGCTAAGCCGAAAGGCAATACAGTAAATTTGTAATACTTCGCGACTGCTTTTTCTTTCCATGAAAAACCGAAAAACTGCTGATCAGGCAGAAAGATATCTATGTGATGATAAGCTGACTTGATGTTAAAAGAAAATAGAAAATTTTGTTGACCGTGTCTCAATGTCGTTAGCATTTCCTGAACCCCTTCAAACTTTATTTTAAATTTCTTCAGAAAACTGTTTGGGTAACAGATCTAAAATGAGCCTCTTTTTGCCAGATGACTGAGTTGCAACTGATAATGAATTCACCACCATGGGTGGTGACGTGCACTGCACAATAGCCCTGGCGATAATTAAATCTCTTACCGCGCCATCAACAAACTCACAATTCTCAAAGGCTGATCTATTATTCTGAAAACACATTTTGGGTGGGGTTGTAAGGAAAGCAATCCTCTTGAAATGGTATCAATGACGAACTGGGAGGCCCCAATATCCTTCCAGAACTGTACTCGAGAGCATAATCGCCCTTTCACACTTGGAGTTCTCTGCGTATTCGTAAAAGCTTTCTACACCCTGTTGGTCGGTATCTACATTATCATATATAAAACACACAAATTTGAATACTTATCTTCACTCATTCTTGCAGCCACTGCTTTATGTTTAGGGTTGGGAGAGAAATCAGTTCTGAGAGGCAGGTGCTGGACCAAACTGGTGAGGTTCGCTTCCATGTCTGTTGGAGCAGATGGATGAACTGGCCCAGTGACCATACAAACCACAGCTGAAGCACTTGTCGTTAGGCTGGGGACGTCTGCCGCCTGGATAGAAATGGCAAGAGGGTTGATAGCCACGGAAAAACTGAGACTGTGTGTGAGAGGTCTGCAGGGCCGTTCATTGACCTTGTACTTCTTTCCTTGTGTTGGAAGGGTTCTTTGACTGTTTGTTCCACTTAAGTTTAGCCAATGCTCGGTGCTCAGCTGCTCTTAACTTCTTTTTGTCATCTGAATCCTCTGTGAGGTCATCGGACTGATATTCTTCTACGGCTGACCACCCTGCGGGACTTTTATCGGCAAATCGGATCAACTTGTTTCACTTTGCAAGCAAAGACTTCTGCATTTCTATTTCTTGTGTCGCGGCTGCCAAATCCCCTTTTAATATATCCTTCAATGTCGACTCCAAGCTGTCTATAGTTCCAACGTTAAGTTCCTCTGTATCTTATTACCCTTAAATTTGAAGGAACTGGCGGCTTTCGATTCCGTTTTTAATTTCTTTATCCGGGAGGCGTTAACATCATCTTTTTCTTCGATGCTTCGTTTGAAACTGGCCAGTTTGTGGTCCAGTTTGCTATCAAGAATTCGAGTGAAATTGCTCAAAAATCTACTCGGCATTGCTGCTCGTCGTCAACATTGTATGTGAGTCATAAGGTATTGGTTGACTGGCGGCTTGAGAAGGAGCAGAACTAGGAGCTGTGCAAGCTCATTGTAGCTCTCTAGAAGGTAGCTTTCTTGATCTAAATCCGACGCCATGCATATAGAAATTCAACCGCTTGAGTTGGGGAGATGCCTTCAAATGCTTATATTCACTTACCGGAACCTTAAACACCCACATAATAATTCCTTAAGCCTCTTCCATTGTTCCCTTACAATGCCATACATGCAGGCATTCAACCGCCACAAAATACATTTTCGTTCTATGTAATGCACAGCAGCCTGTTGAATTTCCATAGCGTTTTTTTAGACACCCTGTATAACAGTTTTGCAAAAATTCTGGTAAATTATTCAAGTGATGGTATCTGTACATGAACAAACTAGTAAGATAATCATTTAGTTTGCTCAGAGTCAATATATTAAAGTGCATATGACATGAAATTTCTTATTTTCTTGAATGAAAGAACTCTTTAAGTTGTAGTGTAACTTATTTTTCAGTTTCTTGTTTTTATGGTTTGTTTCTGAGATATTTCAATTTGTTTTATTATATAAATGAGTGTGAATATATCTCCTAATTTATGACATCACTTTGGTTGCAAGCTCAACTTACACTGGTTATAAATCTATTAAGGCCAATGAAAGTAAGGTATCAGCTTACCGTAACCCGCCCGCATGTATTTTTCATACCGCATGAAATTTTTTATTATTTTAGTTTTTTCATTATTTAAGAATTTTTGCAATACCCATTTGTTTTGTTCAGAGTAAACCTTCGTTTTCTATCAAAAATGCAGTAAAAACGGTGTCTGATTGTGTCTGAAATGAAGTTGTTTCACATTGAACTGACAAAGAACCTGGGCACAATGTTTATAATGTCAACTATCAAGCAAAGCAACATGGCAATCAATATATACAGTAAGAAGATGCAAATTGGGTAAGTAATTTAAATTGCAAATTTTCTGTGTCTCACCCGTTTGAAATATATAAAAATATAAACGATTTGATCTCTTATTCGTGGTGAATAATATAAATGATAAAGCTTGAAGGAAATTTTTGAATAAAATTGTCTAAATTTTTTAAATATAGCATTTGACAATCTGTGCAGCTAGATCGGCTCAGATGTTTGAATTGTAAGTCTTTGTCTCACCCACAATAAAATATATATGAAAATATAAACAATTTGATGTTGTGTTCATGATGTCCATATTGTATTCATATAAAATGTCTGTATTTAATAAATATATAGCCTGTAAACCGCCAGATCTGAATTCAGATCTGGCAGTTAAAAAATGATAAACTTTAAGTTCTAGTATTTTTTTAGATTGTTTGGAACATGAGAATGCACCATGACCTGCCTGCTTTCTGTCAGGGTTGCAGATGAAGGAAGCAAAAAAATATTAATGCCATGGAGTTTTGTTGACACTATGTCTCTTACAGTTACTCGTCTCTTGTGACTGATATTTTAAGTGGTGTCCATGAATCATGCAAAATTGAAACACATGGCAATTGTAAAAGCATCATACTGTCCTTTGTAACTGCCTCGTCTTCATTTGCTCTCAAGGAAGAAATTAAAGGAGATCCAATGCAGGACATTGTTAACAAAGTAAAGGTATTTGGAATGCGTTACTTTAGTCTTTATACCAAGCATGATGAAGCTTGCTTGACCTGCAAAGTTTTACAAAATGAAGATGAGTGTAACACACCACTTAACACATTTCAAGTAATGATGGCAGCGGCAGCAAATGAAGTTGGAAAAAATGTTCCTAAGCAAATTGAAAGCCCCAAAAATGGCTTAGATCAGTTGTTCAACTGTATCCTGTCACATCTCTCAAGCTCTGGGTGCATTTTCCCCAAAAATGTTGGTCCTGCAGGTGGTAGTTTTGTTGACACACTGACAAATTGTTATGGCATCTAGATGGCCAATATCAAAAGATCGAGCAAGAAATACCATCAAGTCAGAAAGTGCCAGTAATTTTTAAGAGAAAGTTTAGTGGTTACAACTTGCCTGAAAAGTCAAAGCACCGTAAATGAGTGATACGGAATTTGTCTTGCCAGAAGATGGAGGGGCTATGTATCCTTCAACAGCAAACTAAGCCTACTGAAAACTTCTATCCTTCAACAGCAAACTAAGCCTACTGAAATCCTTATATTTTTTACCTAAACAAGCAAAACTTGATTTTTACTTTAAAGTGATGATTCCCTCTATTACATATGGTATCTTTTTATGGGGTTCGGTACGAAAAACAGTATGGGACACTTTAGAAAGGCTCCACGTACGAGCAGCAAGAATTATTTTGGGTTGTGCTTGGGACACTCCGTCAACTGAAGTGAAACGACTTGCAAACTGGAGAACTCTTAAACTATTTTATGAATTAAAATTGCTAAGTTTAGTATTTAACTGTTATCATCAAATTTCTCCCCCCCCCAGCTTCAAAAATTATTTGTGAAAAGAGAAAGAATGTACAACTTTCGAACAATGAACTGTTTAAGAATTCCGAAAACTGACTACTTGAAGAAGTCTGTGTCATACAAGGGAGCTGTTTTATGGAACTCTCTCGATAATGATTTAAGACGTTTGGAATACACAAGTTACAAGACTTTAAAGAAAAGATTTAAAGATCAATATTCAGACAATTATATATAAATATAGGTGTTTATAGTTAGTTTAGCTAGAATTTTTGCTATTTTCACGACCACATCAGCACTGCCTGTAACTAACTTATCGTGATTAAATAAATACATATTATTATTATTATTATCCGAAAAAGGAGCTGATACAGTGTTTACCATTTCTTGATGATGCTCCTATAAATGAGTTTACGGTACAAATTCAGCAACTTGTTTCCTTGATCGAAGTCTACTGCACATACCTACGAAGCCAGGCAAAGAGAGCAGCAACATCAGAGAATACTCCCAGAACACCATTAGAACTAAGGACAAATGTGACAGTTCTCAAATAAACAAGGGTCCTGTCAATAAAGTCCTACATCCCTGTTTCAGTACGAGAGTTTCTGCCACCTGGACGTCCATGACAACAAATCTACAACACCATACAGATTTTAAAGGACTGTGGATTGTCATCACGAGTTGTCCATTATGCTTTATCATATTGGTGGTCCCAAGGCATCACTGCATTTTTTGTGGAAGATTGAAGATTCTGAAGGAGATCGTCTTAATAAGTGTGTCTATATCATCAGAAAGATTGAAGAAGATGCCCCTATCTATGAAAAGAAGATAATAAAGAGAGGATTTAAGCACACATTTGGTTTTGTGGGCAGTCCTGTGGTGCTTCGGGCTATTTTTCGAGATCTAACCAATGACAACACTAGTGCTAACTCACTTAATGAAAAAGAAATCGATCTGAGATTTGAACATGCAATGCTTTGTGAAGATCCTAGCATACTTGTAGGTTTGCAACACCAATCTCCCAATGTAAAGGAGGATTCCTTCAGTGTCTCTTTAGAGGCTACAGAGAAGTTTTTGAAGAATGATGTTGGTGTTGCTTGTCATGAAAGATGGCATGGTGAGCAGCTATATCTTGCCAAGGCAGTGAGCTTTCAAAATCTTCACAGACAAGTGAAAGAGATTGTGCCTCAAGGCACCAAAATTCCTTCCGTTAAATGGTTGAGGTATCAATTTCAACCAATCAAGCAGCATGCAAATACGGCGAAGTACTATAAAGGATCGATGAACATCAAAATGATGGTCCAGAAGCGACAGGTATTCCAACAATGTTCATGGTAACTTTATTTTAGTATCTCACCATTTTATAGCTGAACTTTATAGCAGACATTGCACAGGCCATTTATACCCTTAATACCTATCATTCATTAAAGTGGTACTAATCTCTTAGAGAATTTTTTGTTTAGCATGTAATATATGGGTTATTTGATGAAATGTAAAATATCTTCACTTTTTCACTTTCAAAATTTTTAGATATATTTAATGCAAATTAGTTTTCTTTTGTCTATTAATAGTAATATGCCCCTGATGACATCATATTTAAAAAATTTGAGAGTGAAAAATCTGCCAAGATGAGGTTTTTGTTTATAAAGATATATTATTTTCCTTCTTGTGATAACTCAAATATTACATGGACAAAAATTTGTCTCAGGGTTACCACTTCAATTTAATATTATCTTGTTCTAGATTCGAGTGAATCATGTTGACTCACACTATTGTGCAGCTATGTGGAGGTACATGTGAGAGCTTGCCATTCATCACAGAGAACCGGTTACACTTGTCAGCATGGACGACAAGCATAAGATCAAAGTTGGTGAACCGTCATATCTGTTAGCCGCTGCAGAATGTGGCAAACAAGTTATTGTGGGAATGAATCAAGTTATGACTGTGGGTGACCACAATTTCTCAAAGTGTACTGTTGTATCATCGGTGAATCTTATTGTATGTGTTTACCTTTAATATGGGGCTCGAATCATAAACTACCCAAGGATATTTTCCCAAGTATATTGTACCTTATTAGCTAAAACTGGTCTTGGGTTACAGTATACTACCATGTACAGTACCTAAATGCCATTTTGCCTTACCACAATATATAAAATTACATATTAAACAGTTGACTTTTTGGCAGATTGATATTCCTACTCACATGGAAGACAGCTTTTACAGAGGGGATGTCTATGTTGGCTTCAAGAATGCAGTAACACAACCATCATCTGCCCTTTGCCATGCAACCGAACTTAAAGAAATATTGGAAATCTGGAATGGTAACTGCATGTCGTCTTGCTACATAGTTTTCACAGAAGCTATTGGCTGATATTTAGTGCAATTATGTTTGCAGCACTACATATAACACACGTGTACTGCATGTCTATATAATAATTCATCTTATAAAGGTACTATATTTTATAGATTCAAACCCAGTTTTGTTACAGATGGTGGTCCAGACCATCGCTCAAACTACATGTCTGTCAAGTTGTCTTTATCGCTTTGTTCAGATGGTTGAATCTGGATATGCTTGTCACTTTACGTACAGCTCCTAGCAACTCATGGGCGAATCCAGTCGAACGTGTCATGAGTATTGTGAACATTGGTTTGCAAGGAGTTGGCTTAATGAGACGGAAGATGTCAGATGATTTTGAAAATGCCATTGGTATGTATTAGTAAATGCAATAACATAAATACTTATAAGTAGTAGGGATATTAATATGAAAACATGACACTTAGAACAAGGCTATCTTATAAAAGTGTTGTGTTAGACAGTTTTTAGTGCAAAGTTGCTTTGCACTATTGTTATGAGGTTAAATTCAATTCAGTGACCGACCGATCGATCGATCTATAGAGTAAACAATCCGGGGGAGCTTGCAAATTATTTTTATTACGTTTTCTAGAGCTTCGCGATGTTCGCATTGTTCGGCCAACTAATCGTTCATAGCTGTTTGTAGATTATAACAATCTATATTTATATTCATGATGGTACATGTTCTTACTTATTTATCTCACATTTAGAGAAGTTATAACAGTTATAACCAAATTACTGTTGCATTTCAAGCACTTGTTATTATATGATATGCCCCCCTGTAATTAAATACACGTGAGTAATACACGTGCTTTCATCTGTTATTATTTTACAATGGCGGCATGGACGAGCGGTGACTATTGAGCGGCGGTGTGAAATCGTGTAGACTAGAGTGTATTACAGTACATCTGAGGTTGATAGTATTATAGCACAGTGGTTTAATATCTATGAAAGATACAGAGCGATGTATGCATGAATAAGTGCCAATGGATAGTTTTGATATAAAATTATAAGTCAGCAGCTGATTTCTATCAGCTAGCTTATTCTTGTATTATTATATCACAATATAACCCACGGAAAGGAGGGACCGCTCGCAGTCTATATCAGGTAGCTTATTCTTGTATTATTATATCGCGATAGAGCTAGGTTTACATGGCCCAATATTCAATAAATAGTAAATCATAAAATAAAATTGAAATTTTGCTCCAGAGGCAACATGCCGAGGTCAAGCGTATTTATATTGTAGCGGCGACACCGGCGACACCGGCGAGAGCCAGTGTCCCAGTGAACTATAAATGTCTGTATTAATAATGATCTAGTGTTTGTGGTGAAGTGTATTATTTTTAATAGCAGAAATTTCTGTACTCAGTGTAATCTGTAGTCAGTAATGTCAGTTCGTATTGTTTCCGAGACGTTTTATATAAACAGTCATTCCAAGCTTTTGTCAACTGAACTATTGGTATTTCTCACTTATGCAGTTATGGCATTTCATTGATAAACTGTAAAATATTATATTTAATTTAACCAGACACAATACTAAAGTAAAATGCGGTGCCCGCCTACAAATAAAACTTTCAGCGTTTCCGCCTACATGCACAAGTAAAGATATATTTAGCACGCTACACATTCTCCTGTCGGCCGCCAGTTGGTCCGTATATTAGGATCAAAACTGTGTTTTTAAGCCTTCAAAATAAAATATTTTGAGCTCAAAATACTATCAAAATGAGGAGAAAACTGAGACGAATCCGCTGGCTTACGGCCAAAAACGAGAAAACCAACAATTCCGAAGTTATCAAGGATCAAACGGACTGCATTTTTAATTAGTTTAATAATTTTGAGCGATTTGTGAACAATACAATTTCGCTTGTCTTTCAAAGGCAATAAATCGCTAGAATACTGTTGTTTAGTAATACATTTGACATGTGTGAGTATAATTTCTTACGCTGATTCGAACAGTATTTTTGTCCTTGTTTGACGCATAAAACCCAGAGATAAAGCTTAGCAAGTAGACAAACTCACAAACAAAGTCACAGGCAGAATATAATGCGGTGCCAAAAATGGCACGGGCACCGCAAAGTGAGAAATATTTAGATGTCTAA